ATGTGATTTCGCATTATGATGGATTATTCAAGAGAACCAAACCAACATGCGTTGACTTGATAGATCAGATTTGGGAATCAGTGTGTTTTGGTCGTGTCTTGTTTTAACCAGCTGCAAGGGTAACATCACACAAAGCAGAACTCCATGTTGTCACGACGCATGTGAACACAATGAACATGTCGTGCAACAGATGCATTACTGTCAATCAATGTCCCATGTCCATCGGATCACGATGCGTTATTCATGAACAGAACAAATATACATTGAATTGTGGATACATATATAATATTCAGTCTTCAAAAAATATAGAAGAGTGGAAAATGAAATATAGACATACATACATTAATGTACCCAACATTAGCAGGGCATCAGCGCGACGACTGTCATAAAAGTCTTAATTGCGATCGCGAAAGGTCTGAGGAACAGGATCCTGTATTTTGATCAATATACCTGTCAACACAATGTGCGTTAGATGTACAATCAATGCATTTCAAACTACAAGATCCACGCCTAAGGTCTTATGAATAGAGCTTGTGTGAGGAAGGTCGATTCTTAGCGTCATGTTGTGAGACGTCAACAAACGGTAATTGTTGTTTCCCTGCCTGGTGTCAACATGAAGGGGGCAAACCAGGGACAATTCCTCTCGGAATCAGAATACCGCATTTAAAAGGGGTATCATCCCTATATTGCGGCATGGCGTCTCATTGAGTTGGAAATTGACGTGTGGTCCTGTGCAAAGGCCAAAACTCAGGTGAAGTTAAGCAACGTTGGGCGCGGAGAGTCCTCGGATGGGTGACTGTGTTTGGCTGCTTGATTCCTGAGAATTTCTTGGAATTCAGTCCTGCCCCACAATGAAGCACACGTGATACATTTGGTCTCACCTTAGGCAAGTTAATTGCCTCGTTTCCTCCAGCAGAAAAGTCCTCGGATTGGTGACGGTGTTTGGCTGCTTGATTCCTGAGAATTTCTTAGAATTCAGTCCTGCCCCACAATGAAGCACATGTGATACATTTGGTCTCACCTTAGGCAAGTTAGTTGCCTCGTTTCCTCCAGCAGAAAATGCGCACCCAGTGGGATAAAATCATGTGACTATTAACCTTCTAGCGCCTAACAGACAACTTGGGTTATCCGGGGTAATAGTGATACACATATTGTTCGGGCGCTTCGAGCATGCATTGCGTATGGAGAAATGCGCATGACAAATGGACTATTATTATTACTTCATCATACATTCCGATTCACATATGCACATGGCTACATAAGCGCAATGCCTTTGAATGAAACGTTTAACCTTACTTAATTTCACCTCACCCAAAATACAAGCTACAGTCAGAAACTCCCAACCATGTTGCGCTTACATATATATGTCTTCGAATCAAGAGAAGTAAAGCCTAGTATTTCCCCCATATGACTACAGTTAATCTTGCGAGTACGACATGGTAATGATCAACACAGCCCAAGTTTTAATTCCATATTGTATCCAAGGATATGAGGAGTCCAATCTTACCAAGATGCGACCTGTAGTATGATCAGAACCACGCATCACCGCAATATAAATGTGTCTGGTCATGATTCCGTTGCCATCAAATCTCAAAGCAAATACCTACAATGGTTTACCATTGATCCGAGTTGGTCCTTATATCGCCGTAAGGTCTCACGGGTCAAAGAGGAATATCAGGCATGGCTGCCGGAGGCATGAAACTGCATACACGCGTATCAATCGATAAATTCTCTTTCTGAAATTTATAATAATGTCCCTTTGGCTGTCTGGTCAGAATGGTGCATCTCTGGTGAAGATCGTGTAACACAATTTTGCTTCATCAGGTCTCAAATGACACAACCCGCTCTCATCTCATTTACTTGGGCCTGGGGAGATTTGCGAGAGGTTCACAAAAGTCGCCTCTTGAGATGAACCAGTTAACTGGAAAAAGTAGTTTAGCTGGTATTAAGGGCGTTTAGCTTTGATAAATGTCGACATTTGCATACCAAAGATGACTTGACTGTGCGAATGTCTATTGAACTGGTTCGCTGATAGTAACGACGTGATATAATGGCTTTAATTTAGATGCAGACATAATTTAATGTGACGCTGGCTTAATGCACGTTTTTGTATACTCAGGGATAAAAGAATGTCTCAAACACACGGCATATAGATCTCATATACAAAGCATGAGTTGGTTTGTCAGTTGCCAATTTCATTGTTTATGTACCAACACCAACACATACACACACACACACACACACACACACACACACACACACACATATGTAATATATATACTGAAAGAAAATAATAAGGTAAATTAAAGGATCGCATCTAACTTTGAGACTGACATCTAAATTACTTAACTTGACTGGAAGTATCCCCGAGATGTTGCCAGACACTTGCGAGAGCATGTGGGGACATACTCGATACTGACTGTCTTTATTTAAACTGGAAACAATGAATCAAGTCTGTTTGAAGGAAATCTGAAATTGTATGCGATCCCTTACGCTTTTTCTCCCAGTATATATATTATGTACTACTCAAAACAAGTTAAAGTACACTCACAGTGTCACACACATTAAACTATAGTCACGTGATTATAAATTATTCTCGTCACGATATGGCTGAAATATTGCCGATGTGACAATAAATATGAACTCACTCACTCACTGTTGGCAATCTATAGCCTCGTTTTATATTGTTTTGTCTTCTATAGTAGTTAAAGGTTTTAGATGTTCTTACTTTTTTCATATCGATATCTGTGGCCCTATAGTTGTTTTTGGGGATGTTAAAGCGTTACTCGTCTCGCCGAAGACCAGGTTCGAATCCCCACATGGGATATGTGTGAAGCCCATTTCTGGTGTCCCCGCCGTGATATTGTAAAAGCGGCGTAAAACCAAACTCAGTCAGTCAGTCAGTTAGTTGTGTTACTGTCCTTCGTTGACAGGGTTTAAGAATGTGTCTTTAATTATTATGAAACTATAACTTGATATAGTCACGATATACTGCCGATGTGACTTACAACTTTAACTAAATAACCTTGAGTTGCATCCCTTTGAGGCAGGAAATTGTGTTCACCGTGGTTATACTTCCAGGTTGGTCAGCAGCATATGTCTTTTATAGCGTTAAACGTCTAAGATCTGCATTGAAATACTGCGGATGTATATAATCAGATGAAGACAATTACGTCTCAGATTATATTCATCATCATGATTCATTTTATAAAGTGAGTGCATATTGCTTAAAGCCGCACCAGCATGTTTGCAGCTATTCGTCGCGGGATCCATGTGGGATGAAATGTTAATAATACTGAAACTCTATGCCATGTGTACAGTATCTGGGAACCCCTGGGGTTTTCGCTGCGACGTTAATTGGGATAATGTCGTTACAATGTGTAATTGAGTCTATAATTACCAATTACCAACACTTTTAGCGATCGTGTGTTTGCAACGTGTGACCGGCTGATTGGGTGCCAGCGTTCCCTGATGTCTTAGCTCATTGGTTGTCCAAGTATAAACATGCCTGATACATGTAGCCTGGTTCGATTCCCCACATGGATACAATGTGTGAAGCCCATTTCTGGTCTCCCCGATACACACACACACCTTTTGATAACGCTGGAATATTGCTAAAAGCGGCGTAAAACCAAACTCAGTCAGTCAGTCAGTCAGTCTAGTTGTTTTACTGTCCTTCGTTGACAGGGTTTAAGAATGTGTCTTTAATTATTATGAAACTATAACTTGATATAGTCACGATATACTGCCGATGTGACATACAACTTTAACTAAATAACCTTGAGTTGCATCCCTTTGAGGCAGGAAATTGTGTTCACCGTGGTAATACTTCCAGGTTGTGTCTTTTATGGCGTTAAACGTCTAAGATCTGCATTGAAATACTGCGGATGTATATAATCAGATGAAGACAATTACGTCTCAGATTATATTCATCATGATGATTCATTTTATAGAGTGAGTGCATATTGCTTAAAACCGCACCAGCATGTTTGCAGCTATTCGTCGCGGGAAGTGTTAATGATACTGAAACTCTATGCCAAGTGTACAGTATCTGGGAACCCCTGGGGTTTTCGCTGCGACGTTAATTGGGATAATGTCGTTATAATGTGTAATTGAGTCTATAATTACCAATTACCAACAATTTTAGCGATCGTGTGGTTGCAACGTGTGACCGGCTGATTGGGTGCCAGCGTTCCCTGATGTCTTAGCTCATTGGTTGTCCAAGTATAGACATGCTTGATACATGCAGCCTGGTTCGATTCCCCACATGGATACAATGTGTGAAGCCCATTTCTGGTCCCGATACACACACCTTTTGATAACGCTGGCATAGCGCAAAAAGCGGCGTAAAAGCCAACTAACTCACTCACTATTCTCATGAAGTAAAAGAGTCCAATCGCAAATAGAAACGTGAGCAAAGAACGTCACCTTGACTATTCCCAGTTCATTTATAGTTTTAGAGCACGATTGCATTAACTTTAACCCGGGTCTCTCATAAATTTTGTTCCAAGGTCTTTAACTGTCATTCTCATGGTTACGTACAGAATCCTTTAAAGCTTCCCATAGCTCCTCATATTTACCCCCGCATAGTCGTAGTGGCGAGCGACACAAACTGGTATAGCACACTTCATCCTCAGGGGATTTTGCCAGTCGTACGATTACAAAGTATCTCTTTCCTGCCTCTTTGATCATTGTTCAACGCCACTGCGGAAGCTCTAGCCCGGGATGCGGCTTTACCATCTGAATACAAGTTGGACATTTCAATGGAAGACCACCCCCGAAATAGCTTTACTTTAAACAAACTACCAATATGTTGATTACTCTGTTTTCATGGTTTTTGTTCTAGTGGTAATTCAGTTTGTATGTGTTCATTGTGTTACACAATCTATTTATTTAAATTTTGTTCTACAGTTAAAAAATAACTTGTAATTGTATTACGAACGGCATTATGCATTATTACCACAAGGCATATGCTTACGGTGTTCATGTTTGTTTTTCAGACAACTGCGATGCCAAATAGGAATATTACAGTGAATGACAGATGCTGCAATGGGATCCTTGGATATGCCACAAATAATGCTGACTTTACAATAGTGTGCTCAGAGATGATATGCTGTAACAATAGTGAGACTGTGGCTGTAGTTCCTGTGGATGTCGCACTGGGATTCAGTTTTCGTTGCATGGTGGGTATTCTATTTAATTTTTTTTAATTAATGTTGGTATGAGTTATTTTCCTAATGTGAAATGAAACGACAAATAAAAGAAATGTGGTGACTCATTGTTTATTTGGTGAATGGGTATCGGTGTTGAGTGTCCATCGATCAAACTATCAGCTTTATAAGGCTATAATTGTAAGCTCAATAAAGCGGTAACACAACACTTGACGAAAGAGTCGGTACAAAAAGGATGAGGGAATAAAATAATGCAATTGATCTATTTTCAGACGACAGAAATCCATGCAAGCAAACAGCTACTTCATATGACACGCCCGTTTCTTATCCGATAAATATTACATCTGTTCTGACAGAAAACAAATGTTTGATTCTTTGGTTGGTACGGTTGGGTATGTCATTCTCAAAAATAATTATAGACATTTAAAGTGAGTGAGTAAGTATGGTCGTACGACCCTTTTAGCAATAATCAAGGGACACGCGTAATTGGCAGTACATGTTGTACCCTAGCTGGAAATCGAACCCGGGTCTTCGGCGGGATGAGCGAACGCTTTATCCTCTAGGCTAACCTAAAGTTCTTGATAAACCCTTAGAGGGAGTCGTCTTATTTAAGATACGTTGAATTCAGTATAAGAACGGTAGTATCAGTGGACAGATGGTATGCCATTTATAATTTCAACGTTCAATTGGGCGTTTCGGTGTAGGTGAATCTAAGCAACATATGTTACACATTGCATTTGGGATGATACTTTCTTAGTAAAGTACAGATTCTAGTCCTTTTGCTGGGTTGTGTCCCATCCGGGATTCGAACGCACACCCTAAGCACTTTTATCAAGCAGGGGCTCCTTTCACGAAGCACTAAGGTGATCGTAAGTCACTGAGGTAATCTTAGTGCAATGTTAAAGAATGGAAGTTAAGGTTACCTTTAGTAAAGGTTGCTTCGTGGAAGGAGCCCCTGGTTATTAATAACTTGGAGGGACAAGGTTATGTTGCAGTCTGTATAGGTGTATCTCCTTCCAAGTAATTTTTTCGTTAAATACAATAGTGTCCATCGTTTAAGCGTGTTCGACATTGCTAAGCTAAAGTATATTTTTCACAAATCACGTAAATAAAATTCTCTGAGGCATTTTTGTCTCATATTTATTCTAATAAATGTCTGCTAAAAGCAAAGGTCCATTGCATGAATCTGACTGTATCATAAGGTGTTTTTGTGGGTCACCATCAAATAGTGATGGTACTAGTCTAAAAAAAAAAGTAGAACATGTTTTTGTTTGTTTCAGATCTATCTTGTCAGTATGCTAATAGTGTGATTATTAATTGACACCAGGGGCGGATGGGTAGCCAAGTGGTTAAAGCATTCGCTCGTCACGCCAAAGACGTTCGATTCCCAACATTTGTACTGGATTTTGCTGGAATATTAGCGTAAAAACTAAAAACAGCGTAAAACTAAACTCATTCACTCACTCACAAATCGCCATCAAATAGTGATGACGCTGTGTGTACGGAATACGAATACGGAAACATGTTTTTGTTTGCTTTTAGACTGAGTCTGAAAATCGTTATATGTGTTACTGGTGTGATTGTGAATTACGAGCAAATCGTAACGGCACCGGGTGTTCACATAAAGTAAAATTTGTGTCTTGTTTTCTTTTAGCCGAGGTCTGAAGTTCGCCATTTATGCTACCAGGCTGGTGGAGAAGTAAGGACATCCAATCAGGATCCAGATCACGCACCACGTGTCTGTTGTGAGGATGCCAAATTTGACATTCTCTTGAATCAGTGGGATGCTGCTATGGTTGTGAAATGTGTCGCCAGGTAGCCAAAGGTGTGCCTCTTTGACAAATGCTTGCAGTGGAATGGTGTGATGTATGTGATAGACTTCCATTCGAAGTGATGTTTGTATTCTGTATTCGGATTTAGTACTATTGGAGCTGTTACTTGCGTCAGCACAAAGGAATATTTTCTATGAGTTCTCAAAGCTGCAGTATCACTTTACCACATCGCTTGGATACACAAACCCTCATCGCTGCACTCTCACGTTGCATCAGATGAACGAAAACGACATTTATGAAGGCGTATGAATATGCGTCATATCACGGTGCGTGTGTCGCTTGTTCACCAAAAACTCAGTGTCACTTTGTGTGAGAGAGCTGATCGTATTCTTGGATTGTAAAACGAACATCGGGATAATATGAAAAAAGCCTAGGGACTTTTGTATTTTTGTGAAAAAGTTGAATAGAACACGATGAAGCACGAAATATTATGTCAACCACGGAGGAAGTTTCAAGTTTGTGGATTGTGTGTTCATGAACTCGTCTTCAGAATTATTCAGTGCATATGGCAACACGGTTTTCTATTGATATGTTTTGAACAGTGATTTATCATATATTGCATTCAGGTCCAGTGGTATGTATGACATATCAACCAGGACACTGTAAATATAGATATTTCGATCAACTATTGCTGTTTTGAAATCTTGATTTAACAAGTCTATCATATGTGTGAATGTCTCTGAATCTTGTGAGTGAATAAATGTTCTTTCTACTGCTGTCGCGAACACTGGTTTCACAAGACACGAACCTGTAGTATGTAATGAGAATAGTTATTAGGCGCCTTTTCAGACACCATCTGATCATTATTACCCCGAAGAACCCATGCTGCCTGTTAGGCGCTGGAAGGTTATATGTTTTACCGGGTACCCATTTTCTGCTGGGTGGACAAATTTGAATTTTGAACACACTCACTAACCTAAGGTGAGACCACATATGCTTCGTTGTGAGGTAGGACTAAGTCCTAGAAACTCTCAGGAGTCAAGCTGTCACACACGGTCATCCATCCAAGGACTCTCCGCGCCCAACGTTGCTTAACTTCAACTGATTGTGACCTGAGCGCTATGCACAGGACCACATCCCACCACAATATATAGTATTTGCCACGACATATAGTCCTGTTTTACAGCTTAATCAAATAATATCTTTTGTATTGGCTGTTCACGTGGTAGACCTTGTTACTTGTTTCGGCCCTGCTTTGGACTCGGAGCACAGGGGTTCGAATCACTGTTTAAAATTTCCACCGCTGCACTCATTACATAAAACACGTGTAATTTATGTAATGAGTGCAGTGGTCGAATTTTCTAAAATCTTTATGTCCTCGTCGATTCCGTTCAAATTTGAAATATACGTTAATCATAACATATAAAAACGATATATGATTCCAAAAGTCCAGATTTATATTTTTCAAAATTATTGTCCAAACAGTGATTCGAACCCCTATGGCTCGGGAGGCCTTTTCGTCTAATAGTGCGCCGAAATCCCTCTATCCCTTGAGCACGTCGGAAACTTGAGAAAACGTTCGAACCCGCGTTGTCTTGATCTCGCTTCTATTTGCGCCAGCGCAACGACCATTCTCAAGTGGTTAACGCCTTGCGTCACTTTGGGATTCGCTCTAGATTCGCCTGACACGCTATAGTCTAACTGGAATGCTGTCAAGGGACCCACTTACTCGTTGCTGAAACTGGGAAACAAATGATTAGTTCTATTCCATGACGTCAGAAATGTCGATTGTTTTTCAGCGCATTTCTTTCCTGAACAAATGTGAGGTAAGACAATGCTACCCAGTGCCATACGTCTTTTGAACAGAACAGTGGTAAAACAACGCAGTGTTTGTGTTTTGAAGGAACAGGAATTGGACAAAACAACGCCGCAGTCTGAAGATGGACGGGACGATGTATGAGTCCAGTCCAGTAATGATCCGCCGTGCCAATATCCGCCAGGCTTTCAACATCTACCGCTTTCGTCTCTCGGGACTTTCCTTCTACTTAAGGTTAACACGCCACAGTATATCACAGGATGGACTCGTGTAAAACGCGACATTACAAACAGACCCCCAAATATATCACTCCTTCCAAGAAACCATGAGCGCAAAACACTGTCAGCTCAAATAAGAGGTACCTAATTGTGACAACGCATATGCGTTACACGTACATATCTCTGATTAATGTGTGATGAATATAATCATCACAGAAACGGCCAAATCGAATTCCTATTCAGGATTGTCTTTGGCCACCATTTTGCCTGACTCAGAAAATTTCGAGTCCTTTATACCACCGATCCATCGTTGACTCATATTATCACAACACCCACCAACGTTTATGTTCACTATTAGAAAGTGGGACTGGATATTCTGTGGCAACAACAAAGTACAAATTGCCACTTAATAGAATTTTCTACTTCAGCGTCAGTAAGTTCGTGTTTGGAAGTTCATTTCACGGCGTCTGCTCATTGATTTCAACGCTTGTTTTCCACTGTGTAAAGTCTATATGATTACTCGGCGTTTTTAATGGTCTGATAAGGCCCTGTCACTTGCACTCCAACGACCATCAATCAAACCCGGACAAGGTGCTGCAGAGTCAGGCATGGAACTGTAGGATCCACACGCCTACACGATAGGCTACTCCGAAGGGACTAAACATCTGTGTCATCCACTGTTTGTATCACCAGTTGTCCATAGTGCACGTGTGAGGTTTGGTTTTGTTTGTTTGTTGTTTAACGCCGCACTCAGCAATATTCCAGCTGTATGATGGTGGTCTGTAAATAATCGGGTCTGAACCAGGTAAACCAGTGATCAACAGCATAAGCATAGTCCTACTCAATTGGGATACGATGACATGTGGGTCAACCAAACCGGCGAGCCTGACCACCCGATCCCTTCAGTCGCCTCTCACGTCAAGCATAGGTTCCTGAACACCAGTTATGAGCCGGATCTTCACGGTAAGAACACTAAACCTTCACAGGTAACTAATACTTCAAAAGGAACACGAGGAGTTGACTGTGCACCGTATACCATAACCTCTTCTTTGTTCTCTCGTTAAAGATATGGTTATAAATCATAAAAAGATGTATTCAGATGTATGACACGGTGGCCTATAGTCCGTTTGGCTCAAAAGCGGACCGATGAATTGCAATCTAACTCGCAAACTAATAAACATAACATACTCAATGAAACGCTGATTATAATCAAAACATCATACCCACTCTGTGAGGTTTTTGCAGAATTTTTGTCCTAAAAATTAAAAAGTTGTTTAACAAACTATCATTAAAATATTGACACAGTTCACCTGGCTGTCCCTTTCTCTGCACTCCTCCCTCGTAACAAATAGTGAAATGTGTCAATATTTTAATGATAGTTTGTTAAACAACTTTTTTATTTTTAGTACAAAAATTATGCAAACACCTCACAGAGTGGGTATGATGTTTTGATTATGATCAGCCTTTTCATTGAGTATTTTATGTTTATTAGTTTTCGAGTTAGATTGCAATTCATCGGTCCGCTTTTGAGCCAAACGGACTATAGGTGTCTAACGCGCCACAATTGACTGGACAGAATTGCATACCTTAACCACGCCAGAAACATATTACTGTGAGTTGGAATTCTGGTAGAAGCTGGATGTATTCCTAGGTTTGGCAACATCGTTGCTTCTTTGTGGCTTTCCCGGAAGTGGTAAACGCCTTGCATGACTCCCCAACATTACGGTGTCACGCTGTGATATAACTAGATTACATTCTGCAATCGGCATAGCACCAAACCTCACTCAACCCACTCATTGTTTTTGAGGTGTGTATATTAGCGGTGGTCCGATTAATTGAAATAATCGAGGATTGGTCGCAGTGACTAAACGACCAAGCAATCGATCATGTTTTCTCATAATCGAATACAAACAATTCTGGAACACCTTTTGCATTAACATTTTTTGTCACAAGGTTGGTTTTGTCTGTTACATTTCATGAGCACTGCAAGCTCGGTCCAAGTCATGATTGAATTTATCTTAAAGACCCCAAGAAAGTTATGTTCCGAACATACTCTTCGTCCTTTAAAGATGTGCAATTTGCGGAAAAAAAAGTTTTTTCTTTATACTTTTGTGCAGACAGGAAAATTTCATAAATGACGCTAACCAATTATTTTCGATGATTGATCGGTTGTAATGAACCAATCATTAATTATGAGATTTTAACCAATTCCCAACACTAGTGTATATCACAATATTTAACACCGTACGTCCAGCACTTAGATCAAAAAGGGGTGGTCAGTTAAAACCTGAAATTGGGGAAGATGAAAAAACAAGCTTCGGATCGTGTATGATATAAGAATCCATATTTTGATAGCAGCATGTTTTTCATAGTTTGCCCTTGAGTTCGGAGACCAAGTTTCCCATTTAATTAAGAATCAATATAAACGTTGATGTATAACTGACGGTGCACAAGAGTCTCGAGGTTATCAATACTTCAATGTATAGATTTGAAAAGGGTTAAATGATAACTGTAAGTAGATCCTTCATCTTCTTTATGAAAAGAAAATAACAAGATTGAAGGAATCTTTTAGATGATATCTGATTTGTCGATAACAAGATTGACGTAATCTTTAATATGATATCGCATTTGTCGATAACAAGATTGACGGAATCTTTAATATGATACCGTATTCGTCATTTAAGTATCTGTTTCTTTGAAATAGAAAATTAACAGGTCAAATAGGAAGGACAAACTGTAAAGCTCAGGGGAATTAATGCAGGTTTCATGTAACAGAAACGAGTAAAAATGTATAATTTGATATCGCATTCTTCCGTGGACTGTTTTGTTGTGTATGGACTGTATCTAACAGCGGAAATATGTGGTTCAATCCCAGTTCACGTTTAATAATAGCTTTCCGGAATTTAATTCATAAAACAGGACTGATTCCGGCGTCCGTTTAACGTACTATAATGTGAAAAATTCATGTTAGAAGTGCGGTATTCCTGTCCTTGTCAGATAGTAGACCGTGATCTTGGTTAGAATTGGTCTTCAGTAACCCATGTTTGTCTTAAGAGGCGGCTAACGGGATCGGGTGGTCAGGCTCTCTGACTTGGTTGACACATGTCACCGTATCCCAGTTGCGTAGATTGCTGCTCATGATGTTGATCACTGGATTGTCTGGTCCAGACCCGATTATTTACAGACCGCTGCCATATAGCTGGAATATTGCTGAGTGCGGCGTTAAACGACCAGCCAACCAACCAGCCGTCAGATGGTTCGATAAAACAGGCAGTAGTCCGTACATCACAAGCTGACATACACAGGCACACACACGCACACAGATGGATGCACGTACCTGTGCATAGGGACGTTAACCCCAATTTCACCCCATCGTCTGACATGTTCTAGGCGATAGTGAAACAATTAGTGAAGATCCCTCCCATGGGTACTTCTTCTGAACCAATATCTCTCTTGTTCGATTAGGAAGACGTCTATCTTTCGTTGGCATGCCATGATTTACCAATCCAACTGGGACGCGACGAGTGTGCAAGAGCTCATTTCAAACATTCTTTTGGGGAAAATTTGAATGAGAGTCGGCTACAACGTCTAGTGAGTCCTGTTACTTAGGAAGAAATTCTTTACCCAATCGGAGCAAATAATTCTTATGTAACAGTTAGCGCCTGGAGACACCCTGTCATTCCACTGTCTCACTTGTACTTCGCTTCTAATAATGTCATTATGAACGCGGAATTATTGTAGTC